TCTTTCTCAAGCATGGATTAAGGGGAGTTAGCATGCCTATTCAATTCCATAAAGATCATTGAGTCAAACCCTACCAAGAACATAGCACAAAACTCGTTCAAAGTCCATTTTGCAATTTGAAAATTTGGCCATAAAGTGCAAAACTGAAAACTAGTTTAAAGGATCTTTCAAGCCTTAATTTTTATACCAATAGCATCCTGGACAGTTTCTGAGCACATCTCAATCACTATCATCCACCAAAACACCTTGAAACGGTAGCTACAAGTCCAACTGTGTCGTGAAAATTTTCAAATCGCATAGCATAATTTACACGTTCTTGTGCATTTTTGTGGATGAATTCTTATTCTTTACAAAGTTTCTGAACTAACCATAACTGTTAATTGAATTTTCATGCACTTTTGGCCAAGTTACCATGTTTGGTTTTTAGGGTTTCCAGCTTTGTGAATTAGGGCTTTTAGAACAGAGTAAAATCAAGCCTCAAGATCCCTACCGTTGCAATCAGCGTGCTCCAACGAATAAGAAACATGGCTCGCGATGAATTTATGTCCAACAGGATCCTATTCGCTATTTTCTAATATGCCTTCTATAGCAACGGGTTAAAACCGTTGCTTATTGCTTTTGTGTTTCAGAAAAAAAAAGAGGAACGAGGACGATGATGTGCTGGCATGCAGGGATTGGGAGGTTCAAAATTTCGCGCGCGCTCCAAGTGTTGTGTTACTTTTCTTTTATATTATTTGTATTACATTATATATTAAATGAAACACAGGTGGCTCAGTGGCAACGCGTTAGGCACATGACATCAAAGACCTGGGTTCAAGTCCCAGGTCTGGAAAAAGTTCAATATTATTTTTCACAAGCGAATCCCATGCAATGCTGGAATGAAGATGCACCATACACCCAGGACCAAGCCTTGACACGTCTTCCTGGAGATCAAATTAAAGGCTTAGATTCGAGAGACACGCTGCACTTGGTCAAAGGCATCACACCTGATTGGAAAAGTCAACAAATTGCCAGCAAATGGGCCAGGCTTTTTCAAATCTGCACCTCACAATTTTGGGGTCTACCCCCCCTGGTTTGCCCATTTAATTTATTTTTTTTTTATATCTTTTAATTACTATTTTTTTTGCTTTGTTGTTTTAATTCAATTAATTAAATATAATAAAAACATCATAAAAATCAAAAAATGCCAAAATATATAATTTATATTATAATTATTTTCATAAATAATAACATGTAAATATTTAGTTTTAATTAGGTTTTCAACTTTAATTCCTTTTAATAAAAATCAAAACAAAAACATAGAATTAGGTTAATGACTTTTTCCTTTTAACTCTCCTTGTTTTTTGCCATAGTATTAGTATTTTTCATAATTAAACTAGGGTTGCATTTTAGGTTAGATTTTAATACTTTCTTAATAACTAAAAATCCAAAAAAATAGAGTTTAGGTTTAATAACTTTTATTTTCTTTTTTAATTTTCCTTTTATTTCAGAATAATAATATTATTTATTTATTTTCATAAATTAAAAATTGTACATAAATTAATTTAGAGTTAAATTAGGTTAAAAGTCAATATTTTCATAATAAACTTAAAAAACATTAGAATTAGCATTTTAATTTTAATTAATTTTTTCCTTTTTTCTTTTAAATCTAAAAAACACAAAAATACCATTTTTCATTTAATTCTAATTAATTAATTCCTCATTAAGCTTAATTGTTTGTAAAAGGGTCCAACGCCCGGTTAATTTGCGCATTTGTTTTATATTGTTAAATAACTCTGTATATGCCCCAAAGCCTTGTAATAAGTTTAGATTTATTTCTCGCACTTTTACTTTCAGTCAAATCGGGTTCTGGAAATTTTGGCGATGTGGACCCGCGCCGTTTGTAATAGTTTAGATTTATTTTCTCGCAAGTATATAACTGTTAATAAATATGCATGAAAGAATGTATGCCCAAAAATAAAATCGAATCGTTAGATCACCAATGCATGACAAGACAAACAAATAATTGAAACATGACACATGGACCGCACACACCACCCCTAGGGTACGCCTCACTGTTGCCTTTCGAAAGGTGGTCGTCAAGCATAGAATGTTTTAGCAGTCGCTCTGATGTCTAAAGATCCGGTTGCCTCGAAACAGTTGCCTCGGATTAAAAGATCTAGGACATTAGAGTTACTTCTAAGGTGTCCTACCATTGCTTTGGTGACCACACTGTCCCTAAAACTCGAATTGACCCGAACACCTCCTATGGTGGTGCTACTTACCTCTCAATGGTGGGATGGCATTACCTTAAAGGACATTTACACAGACTAATTCCTTAGGGTAGGTAGGTTCTCAAAGGTACTTGCTCTAATTTCAAACAAATCAAAACATCTTTTCACACCGACACACTTTCAAAAACTTTCAAAACAAACTTTTCAAACACTCTGACGTACGAGTTGAATTGAAACTTTTCAAAGAATATTTTGAAACCCACAATTGAAAAGCAAACAACAATTTTGAAAACACATTGAGCAAGTACCTAAGAGCCCATGGATAACCATGGATAGAAAGGGTGCTAACACCTTCCCTTTCTATAACCTACCTCCCGAACCGAGAGCAATCTCTTAATAAGGAATTTTTCTGTGCTTTTGTCCTTTCCATGTTGGAGAAAATAAAAGACGGTGGCGACTCTTGCTTACCGCGACATCTTCGCGAACCAGCTTTAAAACAGTCAGTTCCAGATCCACCGATCACAACGATCAAAGTGTTAATCTGGACGGAAGGTTCCTGCAATGGTATGAAGTTTGGAACTTGATGCTACTTTCTGGACCTTCGTGGGGCAGGCTGCATTTTTTGCGAGGCAATACATGTGTGTCTCCGTTTCTGAGATCACGAGGTTTATATAGACAAGGGGTTTTAGGTCAACATTTGTGTATCAAATCTTGGTCCATTATGATGAAGAGATTTGATTTGATTTCTTCATAAAAACTTGCTATATTTGATTTAATCAAGTGTCAATCTATTTTCATGCGTTACTACCAGCCTGTTATGAGTTGTTTGGGCCTCCAATATGATGGAAATCGAAACCTGACATGCCCCTGCAGATCCATTTCCCTTCAAATTTGTTCTCTTTGAAGGCTCTGGGCTCTAATTCGAATTACTCAGAGCTTTCCTCATCAGAGCATTGTTTCCTTCGAAGGCTTTGAACTCTAATTATAATTGCACTAACTTCGATGTCATGGCTCCTTCAATTAAGCCACCCTCTACTTCGATTGCTTGATTTGAAGATAATCACCCTGGTCAAATTAGCTCTTGTGGAGTTGTGAACAAACAAGGCAAGAATCTGGCCTTTAACTTAAGAATTGAATCCACGATCAACATTGAATTCTGGCCATATTTGCAAGGAAAACATGCCATTTTGAACTTTGGGTGAACCTGGACAGGTTAGGATAGATGTTTTATTCGAATTTTGCTTAAGGCTTTCATCACGGTTCCTTCAATTTTTTCTCTCTTTGATGGCTTTGAACTTGGTCCAATCAAAGTGTTATCTTATTGCCTAATCGGAGTGTTGTTCTACACTCCTTGATGGCTCTAAGTGCTAATTCGAATTTCTCATATTCTCAGCATCACAGCTTCTACGTTTGAACCATAGTCTGCAGAAAGGCTCAGAGTTATCCTGCATGAATTTGAATGTCCATCATCAGAGCTTCTGGAACCCTCTTAGTTCTTGCTCTTTTTGATCTTATTTTCTCTAACTTGGACAATCAGAATATCGCCCTGTTGATATGCCAATCGAAATATCACTTGTTTAACATGCTTGTCGAAAGGCACTTTGTACGCTCTAACGAAAACAACCTTATTTAAGATGTCCGTCGAAGTTGCCTTGTTGGAAATGCCCATCGAAAGGCCATATGCCAATCGAAGGACCTTCTGCAGATGCCAATCGAAGGACCTTCTGCATATGCCAATCGAAGGACCTTATGCAGATGCCAATCGAAGGACCTTTTGCATATGCCAATTGAAGGACCTTCTACAAATGCCAATCGAAGGACCTTTTGCAGATGCCAATCGAAGGATACTTAACCATCATTTGAAAAATTTCCTTTTCTTTAGGAAAAGGTTTGTAACCACCTATGCAAGAGGAAAACTTGGAGAAAAAACCTGAGAGGGAAAATTTTGGGGTACAACACACGAGTTAAAGATGTAGAAGTATAGGGATTTATCCTTTTTCCGCTCTCTAGGAGAGTTGGTGTAAGTGAACCACTTGGGCTGTAAGATGGTCATTGTTGTTCTCTCTCAGAAGCTGTGAAGTAATGAGTTGAGTATTTTTCTTGGAGGAATCTTTGAAGAAACTCCAAGTTGTTGTCTTAATCAAGAGTCTTGGATAGAGATTATCATTGAAATGTGTCTTCATGTTTGTTCAGAACTGTTGGATCCAATCATTGTCTGTGATTGAAGAGGGGTTGAGAAGGGCCTCATATCTAGGTGAGTCTTAGATAGAAATCTAGCAAGGTTAATGATTGAGTGATTAGGCTGTAAATTGGAGGTTTTTTGTATGGTCTATGAATTGATACTATTTGAGTGGATTTGTACCTGGCTTGGTATGCCCCCAGAGTAAGAGAGTTACTCCGAATTAGATTAACAATTCTAGTGTGTTGTTTATGCTTTTCAGTACTATTTTTATTGTTGATACCTTACCTTTTGTTTATGTCGGATCAGATGTCCCAACATGTCATAGGACATTTGAGTTATGTCATACCAGAATTTCACTTACTCAAATAGTTATGTTACTTTTGTTGTAATATTGGGTTGTAATTTTATTGTATTTGTTTTAGCAAAAACTTACCAAAGGCAGAGATTGTAAGTTCCTTAGTTTTTAAGAATTGACATTAATTTTTGTAAAACAAATATATCAGTAATATGTTAGATAGGGTGTGTTAACTTGCTAACAGGAACATGTTGAGTAAGAATTCCTATCTTATGTTAGGACATGTTGAGTCGAAGTGTTTCAACATCTGACCGATGCCTTACCACTTGGCTATACTCCATACGGCTTTTGGACGGTAGAACGAACGGGGAGAGGGGGAAGGGAGAAGCAGGGCTCGAAGAATGAGCCGTGCAAGAACGCGGGGATATAGCAAGTAAGCAGCAAGTTATCCCTTCACGGACTGACTACAACAAGCTCGCGACTCTAATAGAAACAAACGGTAAGCTCTCTGCTCTATTTGCTTGCAAAGCGTTTACCTATCAAAGTTGGCGAACGCTTCTGTAACCTTAGACTCGTTACGCTTAACGCCCACTTACTAAAAGACTCGTTGGCTCCGTGTCCACCGAAAGTCGGTAACCTTCGTCAGCATTTGGTACTCTCTCGATAGCTTCAATAGTTCACTGAAAGCCTTTGGTGTAATAAACCGCAATCCCTTCAGAAATAAAGACATAATCAAAAGTCTTGGTTACGGGAACTGACGGTAACGAAGGTTACCGGGCCGATGCGTCCGGTTACCAGGAACCGCAAGGTTGCAAGGTTCCCGAGAAACGACCTTCCCTTTGTTTGTAAAGTAGGCCTTTTGATAACTAATTAGAGTTGACATGAAATGTCTCACGGAAGAAGACGTATCTGACGAATGAATGATTCAATCACCTCTCACCCACACGGGTTCTTCTATGGAAGGGGTTCCCCTTATTATATGTGAGGTGGGGCGTACGTAAGAGCGGAACCTAGATAGAACGTGGAGCGTCGGCCGCCGATACAGTGACCATGCTTACCAGCTCTTACCATTGCCTCCTATAGATATATATGGAAGGTAGCTTGCTTCTCTTCTCCTAGGCGGCTCCCTGCACATGTTATTCGCGAAGAAAAGGCAACGAGCGGTTCTTCACTTAGTAGAGCTACCAGCCGCCGGTTACTTTCTGAGGGGCTCCTCTGGAGAAAAAGAAGGTCCCCCTTACTTTTCTCTCTTAAAGCTTTATAAAGCTCGGCGAGAAAGGGTTGGTTAAGAACTATTGACTATAAACCATAGCAGTTACAATCACTCAATTGAAATGTTTGCCTTAGGAATGAAGATGGATGAGCGGAGGTTTGAAGACGCTCGACCCAAACAAGCAATGACGAGCCCCTATCAGAGAAAGCCGTGGTCAAGCGCGCTAGCGCACTTTACTTGGAGGTTCGCGCATCCTCTTGCTGGGAGAGGAAATCCTGGAACTGATGAAATTCGGGGGAAAGATGGAATCGGTCACTATACTGAGGGGGCGAGACATGACCGCGACTTAAGATTCAAGTACCGTTGAAAAGACTAAAGGAACAGGGGGAATTACTACCTGTAATAAAGCACAGGCTAATACGAGCCGACCAAAACTTAGATTACCAGATCCTGGACACAATCTTCCTAGAGATGGAGAGCCCCTTGCCCCGCCTTTTCTAGCCTCTCCATCTTGCTTACCTAGCTCTTGTCTTAGTTACTCTTCTTCTTTTCTATTTTCTAGGTTTTTTTCTGAGTGTTAAAACAGTATATTTTTCATTTGCCAATGAATTGGCCCCGATTCGATCAATATGGGGATTCTTGGCTAGAAGAAAGGTTCTGTTACATGGACGCCCAACAAAACTCGGTCGGTCGGTTGGCCTACCTAACAGATGATAAGATTCTCGATCGATTTGATCGAATTTTGAAAAGTCTTTCTCATTATTCAGAACAGTGGAGCTTTCGATCAAGACGTTCTCGCCTCCACCGTTTGGGCTCTCCATAGATAGTCACTCTGCTCGCTTGTCCGCCTACCAATGATGCCTTTAACTTTTAGATTCTACATATGGAGTGGAGAATGCCTCTACTACCTGTGCCAGCAAACAAACAAAGACTATAGTAGAGTAGGAATGGTTTAGCTCGCTATAGGGGAGGGAGATAGTTTACGCGTCAGTTGAAAGTGGGAAAGCTCTCAAGCAGCAAATATAACAGTAATATGTTAGATAGGATGTGTTAACTTGCTAACAGGAACATGTTGAGTAAGAATTCCTATCTTATGTTAGGACATGTTGAGTTGAAGTGTTTCAACATCTGAAACAATATATCAGATAAGATGTCCTATGAAGCAGCATACGACACCGCACATGAGCTGAAGTGGATAGTTAGATTTTGTTATAATTTAACTGCAAAATATTTTGGGAATATTATGCAATATTATATGGCGCTAATTTAAAGGTAAAGAAGAATCAAATCATAATATTGAAGATTATGCAGTTTCTAAATATGGAGATATTTTAGGAAACTAATGATTGAAGACCTTATTTGTAGCATAAGTTACTGATGGTTGTTACAGCTGATATGTTGTATTTTGAAGGCCCATATCTAGTTGGATATAAGTTATAAATAAAATTCTTTGTAACCTAGGAATGACACGGGTTCAAGATGTAGAAGTCTAGGGCTTTGTCATTTTGTCGCTCTCTAGGAGAGTTGGTGTAAGTGAACCACTTTGTTGTGAGATTGTCATTGTTATTCTCACTCAGAAGCTGTGAAGTAATGAGTTGAGTATTGTTCTTGGAGGAAGCTTTGAAGAAACTCCAAGTTGTGGTCTTAATCAATAGTCTTGGATAGAGATTGTCATTGAAATATGTCTTCCTGCTTGTTCATAACTGTTGGATCTAATCGTTGTCTGTGATTGAAGAGGGGTTGAGAAGGGCCTCATATCTAGGCGAGTCTTAGATAGAAATATAGCAAGGTTAGTGATTGAGTGATTAGGCCATAAACTGGAGGTTTTTTGTAGGGTCTATGAATTGATACTATTTGAGTGGATTTGTCCCTGGCTTGGTATGCCCCTAGAGTAGGAGAGTTGCTCCAAATTAGGTTAACAATTCTGGTGTGTTGGTTATGCTTTTTAGTACTGTTTTTGTTGTTGGTACCTTAAGTGTTTGTTTATATCGGATCAGATGTCCCAACATATCATAAGACATCTGAGTTCTGTCATACCAGAATTTCACTTACTTAAATAGTTATGTTACTTTTGGTGATGGAGCAAAAGGTAAAATCAAGGGCATAGGCAAAATGGTATTCCCGGGTTTATCTTGACTTGATGATGTGTTGCTGGTAGAGGGATTAACTATAAACTTGATCAATATAAGTCAAATATGTGATCAAGCCATTGAGTTTTCCCTCGCCCATAGAGTAAAAATGGGATAAGATGTGTATAGGGTAAAGAGAAAGTCAGGGTCATTACTAACTCACGTCTCCTTTGGAAATAAGGATTCAATTTTCCGCTATTTGACTAAGTGGGCAGTGGTATTTTCTAAGGAAATCCTAGGTCCTAGAGACCTCTATAAATACATTATCCCTCAAGAGGATCAAGGATAGACCCTAAGTCATACACATTTTCCACTACTCAAAGAGCATTACGCTCATTACCACCATAACGTACACAACCAATCTAATTGTCCGCCTGTAACCAAGAAGCGTCAATCGTCTACAAGATCTCTCACCTCCCATGAGTTGGTCCCTTAAACAACCTCAAAACCACCACACAAGACTTCTCGCCGTTGTGAGCAAGCCATCACTATCCAAACGAGTAATATACCTACAAAGACATTTGAGTCTCTCTGCCCTTGCAGAGGGATACACATGCCTTATACTTATTGATTAGTACAAGTAATAATGTTATCCTAGGGTAGTCCGCATGAAATCCGAGTCTAAGATTCATCCAATGGCTCCCTGCATCCTACGCTTGATGATATGTGAGTTTTTATAACCGCTCTACTATGAAAAGATAAGGCACACCATTTTGAGGTATTATAAAAATGAAAACTCATTCACTCATAGTATTCACATATTACCTTGAGCGTTGAAGTTATAACCTTGTAGGTTAGCACCTCTCCCACATGCGAGAAGCTCGGGTCGATCGTTGTATCTCGCAACCTCCAATCTCTGATCGATTATGGTTCCCTAATGGAACATGATTGAACATGGATTTTGAAAATTTTGCATGGTGCATTTATTATGGCTAAGGGGTCTAAAATGTGTGGATTGTATATTTTAGATGGTTCTATTATTATTGGTCTTGCATCATTGGCTAGTCAATACTTTCATGACAAAACCAAACTATGACACCTGAGATTAAGCCATATTTGTGAAACAGGTTTGGTTAAACTAGCTAAGAAAGGCTTGTTAGGTAGTAAGAAATTAAAAAAACAAGATTTTTGTGATCATTGCATACTATGCATACAACACATGGCTATGTTTAGGAGTGGTGTGCACAGTTCTAATAAATTGTTTAAGCATATTAACTCGACTCTTTTGGGTCTAAAAATGGTGGAAACACATGGGGTGGTTTATTTTTTTTATCACTATGGTTGATTATTATTCTAGAAGAGCACTTTCACAGTTAGAAAAATATAACTGACACCCTTGAGAAGTTTAAGGAATATACTCTTATAGGAAGTCAGCTGAGAACTAAACTAGAAGTGTTAAGAATTGACAAACTTGGAGTTTGTTTTATAATAGTTTATTGAGTTTCATAGGAAACATAATATAAACAGGTATAGAATTATTGTTAGCACACTTCAATGAAATGACTTAGTTGAATACATGAATATGACCATTTTAGAAAGGGTAAGGTGCATGTTGTCAGGAGTTAGGTTACGAAAGAGTTTTATGGGAGAAGTTTTGCTACTACTATTTACCTGACAATATATGTCCATCCACGAGAATAAATTTCAAGACACTTTAGGAGTTTTTGAGTGGGAAATGAGTAAATTACTTTAGTTTTAAGGTTTTTAGAACTTTGGCGTCTGCAAATATCAAGCAAGACAATTTTGATGTCAGGATTGTCAAGTGTGCCTTTATTGGTTATCCTAAAGGTGTGAAAAGATACTAATTATAGAAAATATAACCTAAATGATTAAAACTCATTATAAGCAGAGACTTTACTTTTGATATGACCCATATATGAATGAAATTCAGAGATATGAAAGTGAAAAAAATAAAAAATAATGGTTGATAATAATCAGTTTGAGGTGAATGTTCCTACTAGTGAGCCTAAAAATGAGGAGAAAGTTTAGGCTTTCACTTAATTCTACAAATGAGAAATTTATAGTGGCTCCAAATTATCATTTGACTCACGACAGAGCGAGGAAGGGATTATACCACCTCAAAGATATATTGATGTTGATCTTATTGCTATGCTTTGAATGTGGCTGAAAAGTTGCAAGACTCAAAATCAAATACCTTAAGAAATCATTTGAAAGCAAAGACATACAAGAACGATTGAAGGTGGTGACTGATGAGATGTATTTACTGATTAAGAATCATACTTGAGAGCTTGTGAGACTATCTAAAAAACAAAATATAGTTGGATGCAAGTGAATCTTCTAGAAGAAGGAAGGTATTTTAGGGTTTGAATAACAAAATTCTAAGGCAACACTCATAGCAAATGTATTTATCTGGGATAACAAAATTAATTATAATGAACTTTTTTACCTATGGTAAAACAATGTTTTATAACGGTAATTATGAAAATTGTTAACCAATGTAACCTTGACTTAGAATAGGTGGATATCAAAATGACTTTCTTACATTAAGACAATTTATATGGAACAACCTGAAGATTTTGTAATCGATAAGTTTAAGGTATGTTTAATGAAGAAATCTTTGCATGGGTTGAAGCAAAGTTCAAGGCAATGATATTCTCGATTTGAAGAATTTCTTCTTAAGGATAATTTTGTGAGAAGTTCTTATGATAGTATGTATATATATATTGAAGAGGAATGAAAAGTTCATTCTCTACATTCTTCAATATGTGGATGATATCTTGATGATAAACTAAAACAAGAAAGAGTTTGTTAAGTTAAAAAAGACTTTGAATAAATAATTTGAGATGAAAATCATGGTGAAGTTAAGAGGATCATAGGAATGAATATCACAAGAAACTCTAAAAGGAGTGAAATGTTATTGTCTTAGTATAGTTACTTTAAGAAAATAGTAGAGCAGTTTAGAATGCAAGATGCTTAAATTCTAACACTCTTTTGGATCAACACACTAAGCTTTCATTTATGTAATTTCTACAAACCAAAGAATAGAAGAAGATAATGGAGAGAAATTTCCATGCAAGTAGAATTATAAGCATCATGTATAATGTATAGTATGGTTTGTAATTTGAAACAAATAACTACTCTTTCCCGTAAAATATATCATTTTAAATCGAAATAGGTAAACAAATTTTGAATTTTCTTATTTTATTTATTTTTGTTCTTATTATTGTGATTTACTCGCACTACGTGAAAGATTAATTTGCTTGAGACTCTCTAATGTTTAATATATTTCTCATTTTTCTCTGTCTCAAACATTTGTTTTTTCTTTTCAAAACGAATAATGGGGCCATAAAGACCTTTACTGAAAAAACTCATAAATTGGGATCAATAAATAATTGTTTAGGAGTTAGGAATTGTGAGAAGAAAATTTTACATATTTTCAAGAATTATTATGCCACCGAATATGCCACGTATGTTGATTCTCATGGTTACAATCTCTCTACTTCTAATTTGTCGTTATCTGAACTAGTTAAACCGAGACAGTCTCATAAAGATGAAAACAAAAGTTTCACTTCCATGGCGTGTTCTTCTTCTACAACACTTTTATCAAATTCACTTCACATTAACCAAATCACAATTCAACATGTATCTCCCATAGTTTCACTAAACCGAAAACTTCCAATATATTCTAAAAAACCACTCAAACTTTCAACCACCACCACCACCACCACAATACCCTTTGCCTCTGGTTCTGCAGGCAAGCTATTTCATTATAAGCCTTAAGCTTTTTTCATAAGCTATTTCATAGAACTTGTAGAAATAACCTGAAAACAATTATGTGACTATGGTTGCACAAGAATTATCCTATTATAGTTTCCTTTTTCTTTGCATATACACTGTTTGTGATAGGGAAAATGAAACATGTATTGGATATTTTCCTTTTTGATTGCTGATAACTGTTTCAGTGATTGGATTATGAACAGGAGTTGAGTCTCCCTTGCTGAGTGAGGACACCTCAAGCTCACTGGATTTGGTGAAAGTGTTTGATTTGGAAGGAAATGGGATTCCAATTTCTGATTTATGGAAAGATAGGAAAGCTGTTGTCGCATTTGCTCGTCACTTCGGGTGATTTTCTGTTGTTTGATTCATAAATCAAGCTTAGCTATTCTTTTGTTTAGATGTAATTATCTCTTGTGATTGAGTTGTGTTACAAATTAACTATTGAATATGCATGTATATTTTGCAGGTGTGTACTTTGCCGCAAGAGGGCTGATTATCTTGCATCAAAGAAGGTAAATGAATCCTGGGGGTTGGCTAGTTGGTGAAGGCTTGGACCTGAGAGTGTGCTCCTCTCAAGGTTTCAGGTTCGGATTCTGCTATGTGCTAACAATCCCTGTATTGAGTCGGTCCATATAGCGTTTTGCTCTGGCTTTAAATGGGTCCCGTTAGTGAACGACGGGATTGCTCTGGCTTTAAATGTTTTTTCTTACTCATGTTGTAAGCTGTATTTTACTATATCTACTCTTGACTATGCTATATCAACAGGATATAATGGATGCATCTGGTGTAGCACTTGTATTGATTGGACCTGGCAACATTGATCAGGTATGCTGCATTTTCTGCATTCTCATAAAATCTTAGAATGCTGGAGTTGGTTGCTTTAATTTTGCAGCTGATGCCTATATTTAATACAGGCCAAATCCTTTGCCGAGCAAACAAAATTTAAAGGAGGTACTTTAGATCTGACCTATTTCTTGTGCTAGTTTCTGTAATGTAATCATCTTATATCAGCACTTTAACAGAACCTTGTTACCTGGTTTAGAAATCTATGCAGACCCTGCTCAATCGTCGTATGAGGCTTTAAGATTTGTTTCTGGAGTTTTAACCACATTTACCCCCAAAGTAAGAGGAACAGACTAATCTTTCATTTGAAAATAGTGTATAAAACAGTCGTGGCTGAGTGATGTATACACTTATAGAATTGAAGATTTTTTGTTAACTATGTAAAGGGCACGTGTGTTAATTTTTGCTGTTAACTACAGGCAGGTCTTAAGATAATAGAATTGTACATGGAAGGTTATCGACAAGATTGGAAGCTTTCATTTGAAAAAGATACTGTTAGCAGAGGAGGGTGGTATGTGAATTATCTTGCAAGTCTTACACTGTCACGTTATCCGATTATCTGTGTCTCTCTAAATGGATATTCTGTTGTGTCTTTATCATTTTTTGTTTTGCAAAAAATCTTAAAGATATGTGTTTAATATACAGTAATTATATTATGAGAGATCTTCTAAGGGATTCTAAATCATTTCTCTGGTAACCAAGTCAACGACACTTGATTGAATCATGTTCTTCGTTCTGTGCTTGGATGGAATTATCGTAGCTTTTCCTTAATATTATGAACTTGGCACATTGGCAGGCAACAAGGAGGAATTATTGTTGCAGGTCCGGGTAAAGGTAACATCTCATACATTCACAAGGTATGCATGTGAATCCTATACTCCAATTTTATCTTCCTTGGAATATTCATGGCATACATGTTTTTATGATTATGTGAAATGTGTTCATATGATGTGAGTAGGACAAAGAAGCAGGGGATGACCCAGAAATTGAAGATATCTTAAAAGCATGTTGCTCTTGAAGAAAGCAGAGATGGAGCCTATCATTTCCTGCTTCATGAAGTGTGATATCATCTCATCATAGAGCATTGTACACCATATTTAGCTGCTTCTTAGGCTTTACAGTAACTTTGCCTTGAGGCTCAGTTATTAAGAGATTACAACTTGCCATTTGCCAAATGACAAGCTCATAATGTGGAATCTGTTGAAAATATATTTCGGTCTCTGTTTTTATCATAGAGGGTTTGTATTTATTTTCTTGAGCCTATATAAAATTGACTCCGCTGTATAGTTCAAACACGGATTTATCATATGTCTATATTGTTTCCTCTCTTTCAACAGAATTCATATATATAATAAAACTTTTCAATTTGCAGTGGATTTTGCTGACTTCTGAAGATAAATTTGTTCAATAACTTATCATTAAAAAATTTCATGGGATTCTTGTATATAACTCTTGTCTTTTTCTTGATGTTGTTATTCTCTTCTCAGTAAACGGAGAATTGGGAACAAACTGCTTATAGTTTGCTTGATTTAACCTTGCAACTAAGAAAAAGTACCACTGAATTTCTTTTCTGAAAATACTGAAGAAAAAAGTGTGATTTTATTTCATTCCATGATAGTTAATATTTTGAATATAAAATACATTTGCAGCTATACCATGATTATATGTACACATCGAAGCAGCCACTGGGAGGGGGGAAAATTGGCATATCTAACATATGTACTTAACTCCCATGAGTTTTTATTATATAAACAATGAAGATGTTGATTTTGTAATTAAACAATTAAGAGTTGTCAAATACTATTTTACGCTAACTTTCCTTTGTAACCAACGGTGTAACGATTTTTTGGTGACCTTCAGTCTTTGTAGAACTGCTGGTCTCCTTGTGTGAACCCCCGATGTGGAGGCTAATGCATTATCTGCTGGCAGTGCTTTTAGGCTGAGATTTAAAAGTTTGGGGTTCTGTAACTTTGTTCTGTCATTTGGTGCAAAACTGGTTTTTGCCGGGAGAGCCTCAAGCCCCAATTCATTCCAAAGAAGTTTGATAATAGCCTCTTGCACTTCTAATATCTCTTTGGATGGACTCTCATCTGCTTTGGTAGCTCCTATGATGATCAAGATGTCATCATTCACCGAATGCCCTGTATCCATAAAGGCCAATGACATGTTTAGTTATGCGTAAGGCGAAGGCCGTACAAAAATGAAGGTTTGACAAAGGCATTGTAGTGAAGCATTACATACCAAAAGCATAGTTCTCTTTGATCATTCGAAGAACTGCGAGAATGACGAGGCGGGCTTCAACCTATTGACACGGGAGGTTTGATGACAAAAAGTAAGAATTAAGACTTCATAAAGATCAATATTTCTTGCAAGCTATTGTTTTATTTTCTAAATTTAAGAGTTGTTACAGAAACCAAGAGAAGATACGGAAACAAATGAAGTAATGTTTAAGAAACGCTGTCAACAAAAGTTGCAGCTTTGAGCCATGCTTGACACAAACTTATCCTAAATAATATCAGAGGAATTTATTCGCACCTTAGTGAGCCCTTGAACATCAATTGCCAAGATGTCAGCTACTCTCTTTAGTAGATGTGTCGCAATTTTTTCAAGAAGTAAACTCTGAGGTCTCTCTATTTCAGGTTTCTTGTTGTAAGAATATTCACATTCATACTCTCCGCTGTCTTGTATTACTCCTTCACACCACTCCTCAATCAGCTCCTCCAAATAGTAGTCATTGGGTTTGAACCTATAATATAAACCATATACATTTAGTTCAAAACTGAAGTAATGTGTGTCAAAGGATATTCTGGCCATTTTTTTTATATGTAGCATCATTGTAGACTGCTGTTCTGTGTGTAAGCATATAACTTGAGACCATTAACGGCTATCACCTATACCTTTTCGTGAAACCATTAAACATGGATCAAACACGGTACACACGTGACATTTGTCATGTATACAATCGAAAATATAATTAGTCCAAGTTGATTATAGAGAATAAAAGCTAACATACCCTGCCCTCCGCATATCCTGATATATAGCCAGACACTGTTGCACTTCACGTAAGGATCCATATTTCCCACGTGCCCTTAGAAGTGTATTATATGTCACCTGAGAAAATAGTTAACATTAACTTGATGAAGCATATTCTCTTTTTTTCCGCCTGATCCAAGAAATTGGTGACTTCCATTTTCAGATAACTATTTACTCCCTAAGGAGTACTATATGCATTGAAAACTGCTAGAACCTAAATAGAAATGTATTATTGAAAACTAAAACAGAAAATGGGGAACAAAATTCTCCCCAAGGGTTTCCACTTCAAAAGGATCTCTCTTATCACTTTATAAACTATCAAATGTTCTGAATGAATCCCCTTCGGGCCTATCTAACCAACTTCATTGCAATCCCTTCTAACTAGCTGCCTAACCTAACTAATGAGCTAACTGACTCAAAAACAGGTATCCTTATTAATCCTAATGATACATCCTAGGGGGAAACAACGAGTAAATAAATCAGCCATACTATGCATATTTAGATGATTACAAGGGATGAGGAATCTTAGAGCATGGTCATCCAAATTGCATGAGTTAGTGGACAGATCTAAGTTCATGATTTTGTGAAAAAATGACCTAACATAATAACAACTGACTCACCAAATTTGGAAGTGTCCCGTAGCTTTGCATTTCTTCATATAGTATTAGTGCTTGCGTAAAATTCCTACTTTCAACACAAACCTGCAAACCAAAAGGAAAAATTCCCATATGTCAAAAGCAAGGCAATTTAGAGATTGTGAAAAATGTCCCATCCAAGTGTACAATTGATTTTATAAAACAGAACAACTTATTCAACAGGAGCTTGGACCTTAATGGCGGTTGTATATGCAATAACATCGGGTTTAATTCCAGAATCAATCATGGTCTTCAAAATCTGCAAGGGGAGAAGGTTGTCTCTCATCAGAGAACCGATATCATATTATCATTACATGAAATTGTTAAACAAAGTAGAATGGTTTGTACTCTATGCATATCAATATTCAGAGACTACTATTTCTCAGTGATCATCTCAAACTAGTGTTGTTAATAGCGGATCTCGGAAAATAGCAATATGAGAAATATTGGATAGCACATGCTACACACAAATAAAAGCTACACAAACAAATATTTAAAAACTGACTAACATTAAACTAAAAATCTCTAGTTCAAACAAATAAACAATGCTGCAGAAAGCTAAAAACATAAATTAAAAGTGACTTAAAACTCAAAAGTTAAGTAGTTCAAACTTCAAAACAACTAATAATTAGTAGTTCTTCTAAGTCTATCTAATAATTAGTAGCTCTTATTGGTCCAAAAAAGTCTCTGGCATTAACCAATTCCGATATCAATACATAACCGCTATACCGGAAAAGCGCCGCTATTTTGAGTGTAGCGGAGTTGAAATGCAGTACCGGTTTTCGTATCGGATAGCCAAAATTCTGATATGCAATACCGGTATACCGGTGCTATACTGGATATTTAACAACACAGTCTCAAACATGGCCTCGTGGTAAGGTTTTCTAATTGAAGAATGGTAAGATGCCTATAAATGGTTTCGACAGATGCAATTTACGCATCATAGTTCCTTATTATTTTTCTTGCAGCTACAGCTTTGCATATACTAAATCTTTAGTGTTTAAACATTTGGGAAGGATTTCCAATTCACCTATTATTTCCCTCCACGGTCTAAAACAAATGTCATTTTTTCTAATTATTGATCGAGGCATCAAATTATAAATTCAACTGATAAAAAACCAAAAATTGAACATATTCAGCAATTTGTAAGTAACAAATTTGATACCCGACCAACTGTTCTCACTTTTCTTGGAAAGACTAAATAGTTCAGCTGGTACATAAAAAATATCAAATATGATAAGAAACCAATAATTTCTCAATGGCAACGTTACCAAAATACCAATTCAAACACAAATTTACTGACAAGGTTTCGATAACATTGTTAAGAGTCGAAGAGAAACCATTATATTCTAATTAATCAAATTTTACCTCAACAACACCATCCACGTTTTCTGATGCTCCACATATATCTATCAAAATTGACCAGCTTATTTGATTAGGCGAAAGACCCACTGTTCTCATCTCGTTGATTAGTGCTTTCGCATGATAGTAATTAGAACCACAAGCCTTCAGTAAAATATTGTATGTCGATGTAGTAGGTGCGAAAGGGAACCTCTCAGTAAAACTCAAGATATGTGAACTAGAAACGCCTGTTGGTACTGTGGTAACATTATGCATGCCTCCCTGCTCTGAATTGTTATTGTTGCTTTCATCAAAGGACACTAACATCTTATTTCCCTTCCAAGAATGGAAAAAGCGAAAAGCCCTGTCATACTGACAACCTTCAACACATGCATTTAAAATGATGTTGAAACACTGTGTATTGGGTTCACAGCCAGACAAAAGCATTTCTTCAAATAACTGAATTGCCTGCTCCACATGCCCTGCGTGTGCAAATGCATTGATTAATGATGACCACGCAACAGTATTAAGAGAAACACCAGCAGAAAGCATGTCATGCTTAATTTTTAGAGCCATTTGCCACAACTTTCTATCTGCAAAGACCTGAAATTGGCAGTGGCACTAGTCAGGACATGCCAAAAAGTTTGTACAAGAATGTGTTACGTATGCCTACAGTGTTAGTGCATAGGGTTGAAGAAGGTTGTAGATACCATGCAAGATCAAAGAAATTATTGCTATTCTATTGATCTACAGTCACATACCTTTAGAATTGTGCTGTAGGTAAAAACATCTAATTTCAGTTGTCCTACAGATTCCAAATGCTTAAGTTCTTTATACATGTCTTGGGCAAGGTCAACTCTTCCAGCTACACAGCATACTTTTAGTAGGATGTTATAGGATGTCACATCGGGTTTCACGCCTAGCTTCTGGATTCATAAAAGGAATTAGCAAATATATAGCATTTGCTCGGATGCACACTTTAATGTTCTTGTCAACAAGAAGTATCAAAATGAAACATGTACAACTATCAATCACTATGCCAAGTTATGGAGAAGATAATTTAATTAGCCTTCTTTTCTCATTTTGCAAGGGAAACAGAATGGACAGCGTTATAGACAGGACTTGCATTTTGCTGTTTAGTTAGTACATGAAGCAATTTTATGAGAAGACAGGAACAGTAAGAGTGAGTGATGCCTCAAATAAGTTTTCAGAGTCGCAATTAAACTAGCTATGCACATCTCGGTTCAAGACTTCTGATTTATTTTCTTTCTTTTTTTGCTGGGGAGGGGATTCATACTTCGCATTTGTGTATACATATGTACGTATGTAAGCCATAATAATATTTGTGAATAGCCTGAGTCACCTGCATATTCTGATATAAATTTAACGAGTAGCTGAAATCGTGGGCATTCACATTCATGAGACTGTTGAACACATATACATTCGGAGTGGTTTTCTGATTAAGCAAATCCTGCGCCAGAAAATGTGCAAAGTGAATGCTATAATACAGAACAGAAGCGTGAATAAATAGTATAATACTTTAACAGAATAATCAAGTTTAAACTTCATATTTTGAAAATCTAAAAGCCAAATCACATAATAAGTTCAAAAGTTATTAAAATTATATTTCTGTTTCTATACCCCCTACCCTGAGGAGAAGAATAATCTCTATCTCATAGTTATTACCTCTTTTATCTTTTTTACTTATCCTAGGGCTGTGACTGAAGAACCAATCACAGGCAAGTTCAAGGTAATGCTAAAACTAAGATCCACTGCTATATAAAAAATACTTATGCTGTAGTGAAAAAATGGTGTCTAATTCACTGATAGTGTAAAAGCTGTGCTTAGTGTAAAAATGGCTATAAGTTGATTTGGTTTCTGTCTGCTGAAAAGAATATGTCCTCCTCACATTATTCTTAATATAAGCCTTAGGTCATTCTTTGTAGCTCTAATTGTATTAATAGTTGTTAGCTCACTCATGTTAACTCTCTTCCCATTTCCTCCCACACAACATAACTCCACTACTTGATTGCTACCTTTTACTGCTTCAAATTCAACAAAATCACGGTGATTGAAGAGATTACATAGTTATTATGAGTAAGCAGCACTAAAATAAGCCTTATAGTGTAACGTCATGGTGCTAAAACTTAACTATTTAATCTCTATTGTAATTCGACAATCAATTAGCTGCACACAAAAAAAGAATTAATAGAAAATGTCATTAGATCCATATCAATGTTTCTCTTTGGTAAAATAACTCCATGTCATTTGATTCAGAATCCCCTTTACTTCAAGTCTCCGTATACAAGTTTAAGCAAGACCGTGTAAACTGATTGAAAAATACCTCATATATGTACCTAGATTTCATGAAATCACCACAAAGACCACAAGCATCAATTATTGCGCGGTATATATACATATTGGGCCTTTTCAAGTTCTTCTTCATTACATCGTAAGCTTTCAGAGCAGAAACCAAATCCCTACTTTTGCCAAATTCTGATATGATTTGGCAAAATAATATAAGTGCTTGTGGAAGAAGCGACGCATATCTGAAAAACGAGTCATTATCATATAAAACAAATCTGATCATATAGAGAATACTAACATAAATAAACCATGTAGAATACCACAGGAAGTAGGAGTTTAGAAAATATAAATTAATCAAGAACTAAGAAAAACAAGAAACCACATTTCAAAAACATCAATGTGCATGAGACCGTAAAAGTATATAAAATCATACATACCTCACAGCTAAAATTGGTTTACGTTTAAGAACACATCTTTTTAGAATGTCAGATGGCTGAACAAGTTCTGCAATTGATAACTGGAAACCTGAAGCAAGAAACCCGTGTACTTTCAATTAAATAAGTAAATCATAAATAAACTACTCCATTCATAAACATTACACCTCAGTCTAAACCACTAGCATATCGCGAATAAGCTAATACGATTAAATTAGTAACCGTCTTTACTCTAACGAGCTTAAAGGCATCAAACGCTAATTTTATCGAACACTTTAAATTCAACCTACTAGCTTAAACAAGAGAAAGAGCAAAACAAGAAAATTACGTGAGAGGACCTCCATCAACTCAACAGCTTCTTCAATGTGGCCACTTGTAACCAATTGACGACACTCATTTGCAATGACAGGGGCATCAAGATGAGTAGATAAAGAAATCTTGGCAATACTCTCCACTTTGTTCAAACTCTCAATCACACTCCGAACATTCTTGCCTTTGATACCTACAAGAACCGCATTGGCCAATAGCTCAGGATTGACCTCGGAATCAATGTCACAGGTGTCGAATTGTTTGGGTTTGAGAGGGGTTTGAAGAAGGGTGGAAGAGTTGTTACGTGGAGATAAAGGATTGAGCTTTGAAAGAGGGGGTGGTTTGTGGGGTTTGATGATTGGGTGGCGGTGCTGTGGAGTGGAAGAGGAGGAGGAGGAGGAGGGTGGTTGGGAGTTGGGAGGAGGAGTGATGATGGAAGAACCGAGGATTACAAAATCTCTCATTCTTCGCCAACCGTTTGTTTAGTTGAATTGAGTGAAGGATATGGGATTTGTATTATCGTATGACTTGAAATGAAATGATGGTGTCCTTAGGAATATTATCGCATGCCAACAAAGTATGTAGGATTGGTTGTAAATATATTTTCTTGTCAAGAAAACTATTGAAAAATATTTTACTTTTTAGTGGATAAGAGAAATGCCTCTAATTTGTCACGAGCACCAATGACAACAACTTCAATTTTATAGGAATATGAGAGTCTCGTTCAATTTTGAAAAATGTCTTCAAGAACGATTAGTTTCAAGACAATGTCTTCCTCAATCAATTATCAATCACTCATGATTAGGATATGAAATAAAAACGGAGGTTGAAGATGAAAGAATTTCTAATACAAGAGTTTCAAAAGAGAAAGTTGGTTTTCCATAAAAGTTCACAAAACAATTATGAAATTCCACACATGAAGCACAAGAAGACTGAAAAAAGGTTGTTAGATTTGAATCAAAGAATATTTAGTTTTGAGTCAGATGAGAAAATGAAATCAGATTTTTGATCCATTTTTCAGTTGATTCGAATCAAACACAGTGTGATTCGAATCATGGACCCCGTGATTTGAATCATGTTCAAAAATTGATTCAAATCAAATCAATAGTCCTAATTAAAAAATGTAGAAAAAGTGTCTGATTCAAATCATGTTGAAAGTTTGTTTCGAATCAAATTGAGCAGAAAGTCACATGAAGAGTGTGATTTGAATCATGTTGAAAAATTGATTCGAATCAAATAGTTAAAAATTTTCTGGAAAGTTGCTGTCCAATTTGATTTGAGTTCGAAAATCAGTTTGATTCGAATAAAACGTGTAAAATCCCAATTTTTGTGTTTTCAAAAGGCTTTTGAGATTTTACATTTCACTTTCTTCAAATCAAAAATAAATAATGTTCTTATTCCATCAACTCGTACAAATAATTAAGAACTCGTGATTGAGTTCGAATATGACCAATGATTTATGCATGCTAAAAAGATTTATGAATCAATTTCAAACTTGATTCACAATGTGCAATTTATGAGGGGGCTCAATAAAAATGATAAACGAAAGCGATAAGGCAAACAACAAAATAACTGTACCATGGGGTTCTTTCTCTCCCTGCATATGATAAGGACATGCAACCAACTTCCCCTAGAAATGTGCAACTACAATAAGGGCCAACCAGATAGAGTTTGGGGGCTTAAACCTTTGAGAACTTTAAGGTGGATGTCTTGTCCTTAAATGGGGCTACGTTATTGGAGTCAGCCAATGTGAGTAGATATAATTGGGCGTATGCATAGATAATGGGGACCCCTTGTGTTTTAAGTACTCATGTGACCATAGATGCCGCCAACATTGTTGTCGGTTACCCTTATGATTGATCGGTCCTTTCGGTAGACTAAAAAAAGGATATGCAATACCTTTGACGAGTGTTTAGTCCCCTTTTATAAATGTATATTTACCAAGGTGGACCTATGATTGCCTATGTTTGAATTTTAAGTGGATATGTTGAAGTATTTGAAGATTGTCCCCTCTCAACTTCAGTCGACTTCCTGGGCTTATATGAAGATGCTTCAATTTTAGGTCGAGTATTAGAAAATATCAAGAAGAAATCTTGGGAAGAGGATTATGTCATCTTCATTTAGGATGAATATCTATAATTAGTTGGTGTCTTTATCTTTTCCTTATCTCCTTTACTTTTTAGTTATTTTCTTTCCTTTGATTTTCCATCTATTTCTTTATTCCACAACTTATTGCTTTGTTTGTTTTAAAAATAAATTTGAACTTTGATATTCGTAAAGATTTTAATTTTAATAAACATTTTTTAAACCCCCATGATTCACCGTCTCTTGTGTTTGGAGTCACATGTTCAATATCAGGCTTGCTTAATGCGACTACTTTCTTCTTGGCTAAGTAATGTCAGCTCACCTGCAACTATCGTTGTCGTATGTCCGTGTTAAGCGCACCTTCCACACTCACTTAGCTACTGAAACCTTCCTTCACCTTGAAGTAACTTAATCCTAAAGTCATGATCCGTCTTTGCTCGCTAAGAGAACCTGTGTTTCTTGGCTTAAAAAGGTTGCACCTTTTGCTCGCTAAGCGTGTTTGTGTTCTTCGCTTAGCAAGTCTTGATTTGTTGGGAAAGTACTTTGGCTTGGTCTTTCTGTTACTTTTGTGATTTCTTGATCCCTTTTTCACCTTATTTTAATCAATAGATAGTTAAAATGTCCAAACATACATTTCTTCGCTTTTCAGTGATAAATCAATGTTTTTTATTTGATTACTAGTAAAATAAGTTTGAGCATGTCTACATATTTAACGTATTTTCGTCACCTATCAACTTAGCAATGTAATATATTTTCAGTGAGAATGAATAAATCTTCACCAAATTTTCCTCCTTATGATCTCAAAGGAAAAACACGACCCACGGGTGTTGTCACAAGCGCCATAGGTATAAGGCCAAAACAATCAAAATCCTATATCAAAAGCCACACGGATAAAGATCACAAGACCATGAAACAAAGTGGTTATCTAGGACTCATACTCTCTTGATATCTAACCATTATAGAGCACAAAAGTTAAGTATCCTCTATATGGGCCTTGAACCAAGTCTAAAATGGGAAGATAAGCACACCTTTTTCCAATTGCGTCCCTCAAAGATGTTTAGTAATATTCCCGAGCACAACCCCAAATTCCACCCTGAATTCCAGCTAGCTTCCAGAGAACAAAACTTGGGACCTAAGGCGACGTCGCAATTAAACTTTCGACCACAACCCCAATCACCAACCAATTCCCAAAGAAATGAGCATAAGGAACTAAAGTGTTTCATGGTGGAACTAGAAATGAAGGAGATTATGGAAGCTACGGTGGAGTGAAGTCTCCTAACTGATTCAGCGATGTGACATCTTATACTGAAGGTTATGATCTTGATGCTTCTTGAATAAGAGACATTGATCTTGAGCTGGTGTTGCTGATATCCAGTACGGTGGACCAAAGCGGAGGGTGCCTTCATGGTTAGTACTCCAATGTCCAAGTCAATTTAGGATTCAAGATAATCATAGTCACTACTATGGAAAACCCATTTAACAACTGTTGTAAAAGAGGTATCATCACGCGAGTCATACCATTGTTGAGTAGGGTGTGGTTGTAAGTCTGTTGTTTCTATCACGGTCCGGAAACCGTTATTGAAGGGCAGGATGCACGCTAGTTATCACAACGGTTATACTTATCCACCATTGTGATACTTACACATAGGCACTAGGTTCGGAACCCATCAACGTAAATTATATAAATCATAAATCACCTTTGATCACAGTTACAATATATAACTATTGTGAAAAGTGTCCAGAGTTTATTATATAATATGTAGATTGCTTGTTTTGCCATACACCTCACTAAAGAAATACAAGCTTTCAAATTGATGAAGAAATCTATAATCTGAAAATTAAGCTATTCTTGAAAACCAACTTAAACAAACCATTGTTTTTTCTGATTGCATGCATCTCATCTTGCATTTCACACTCTTTAACATATATATTGTGGTTTATTGATCTAACTCCTTTGATACATTGTTATCTTCGATCATAGTTAAATTTCCATAACAACAAGACATTGGATAATCTTCCTCATCATCATCACTTATCATTGTAATTTTTATAATCGTAAATTTTACGATCATTACTGTTGATGAAGAGGCAGATTATCTAATAAATTATAGTTAATGAAATTTAACTATAATCGAAGACAACGGTGCACATGAGGAGCCAGGTCATTATACCATAATCTATAGGTAAAAGAGCATGAAATGAACGCTGAGACGCATGAAATTCGGAAACAATGATTGATATAAGTTAGTTTTCAAATACAATTTAATATTCATATTATAGTATCTATGTCCATTTAAATGAATGTATTTCAAGTGAGGGTTAGTGAGACAAACAATCTACATAGAATATAATAAACTCAAACAACATCATACAACAGAATCAGATATTATGAATTTGTGAGAAACGAAAAAGATATATTATATGTTTCCAGGATGCACCTTTTATTTAAAATAATCGTGGAACAAGAATCAATATGAAGTTATCAACATGCGAACAAAGTATGAAAATTATCTTGTTTGTGAAGCTATGAAGAAGAATTACGAGATAAGTTTCCATCATAGCTTCAGGCTTCTTGTACTTTTTTCCATAGCTTGACAAACAATATGTCCCATAGACAAAGTAGTGAAGACGAATCTAAAAAAATAAGAACAATCAACAAAAACAACATGAAACCAACAAGATAATGAAGAATATGGAAGAATAAGAATACCTTAACGTATGAAGCACAAGATTCACGACTAATGGAGAAGAATAAGAGAAAGATGGGTGCTAGGGTTTCATTGTGAAGGAAACGACGCTACTGTCAATAAGTGATAGCTAACTCGCTTATATATGGGAAAAAATTCACAATGATTATCTACCGACTGTATTGATAAGTATTTATTTATTATAAATATATCACAACGGTGGAACAAACTAACTGTAGTCATAACCCTTTAACTTTATTATTTAAAAAAAATAAAAAATGAAAAGGCGCACCTTAACTTTAAAGGAATACTATATATGAGGAAGCTGAGGTTTGAAACCATGAAGACTTAATGGTATCACCATGATTGACTCCAAAACCGTTGTTATATACAATTAATTTTTAATCAAGAAACAAAAATAATATGGTATCACCTTAGTTTAAAGAGGTCACCATGGTGTAGGGAAGAACCGTGGTGATCATGGCGTTGTTGTTTACGCGTTTTGTAGTAGTGAGTGAAAGTGGAGATTGTAGATTTTGTACCTGAAAATCCCTTGTAATTGTATTAATACCTTGGGCTCAATAAAGAGGGCGAGATGAGTGAGCCTTATCTTACTGGGCCTTTGGATGGACCGGAATAATTCCCCCCCAAGACTTGTCAGGTATTCTAGATGTCCGGGGAGTCTTTTAGTA